ATGACTCTAGCTCCTACTAGAGCCCAGGAGCTCCCTGGCCTCCGCCAATCTCTCTCTCTCTCTCCAGTATGACTCTAGCTCCTACTAGAGCCCAGCGCTGAAGACTACTGCGAGCGCTACTACTACTCCTGCAGCGCTCCTCCAGAGTGCTGCTGCCGAATCCTGAAGACTACCTCCTGCCTCCTGAACTGCACGTGAAGTGCTTGGGAAGTACCTAGGGAACTACCTGCAGCCTGCAGGGCGGGCCAGTCTTATATAGTGCTGGCCCGTCCAGGAGGCTGCTCTTGCCAATGCCACAACGTGCCAAACCCTGGGGTTGAAGCTCAAACAAAGGTTGTCTTGAAAAGAGGTCAAAAATGGCCTGAGCTAAAACCCTGGTCTGGTGCCTGAGTTTCAGGGCAGGTCGATCTTATGAGGGCCTGAAAATGGCCCTCAGATTCAGGCTGAAAAGACTTAGGGCCGGAAAGGCCCTGATTTAGGCTGAAACTACACAGGGCTTGTAGGCCCTTGTTTTCAGGCTTTCAGGCTGAAACGACACAGCGCCTGTAGGCCCTTGTTTTCAGGCTTTCGGGCTGAAAACGACACGGGCCTGAAAATGGCTCGTGCAGCCTGTTGCAGGCGCAGAATCTAACACCCCCCCCCTCCTTATGAAGTCAACCCGGATCGAGGGCGAAGCTGACGATCTGAAGGTGGAACCTAGACGCGGGTGTGACATGGAGCCGAAGATACCGGCTTGCCTTGCATCTTGCGTTCGTAGCATGCGAGAACATCTGCAGCTGTTGCTTGGAGTTCCGCACGGGTCAACCAACGGTCAACTTTGTGAGTGCAGTACGCAAAGTGTACGAAGTACTCGATTGGCATGTTGCCATATTGTCGCTAGGAGATGATGTCGCCGACCTTTTGAAAATCGTCCATAGATGGTGGGTCTTGCGATCATCGCCCGGGAAAATCGTCATGTTTCGCTGGCGTGTAAAGAGCCAACTTGGAGCGATGAAAGACCGGGTAGACGGGCAAGTGGGCGGGCACCTGAATGGTGAAAGAAGGTCCTTCGGATTCATCCCCAGCGGGTGCCACAATCGGTCAGGGCCCCATCCATTTCGGGAAGAGCTTGCGAGAGATATCTTGTTCGAGGCTGAACTCCGCGGCCAAAACCCAAACGAGATCGCCGGCGCGGAATGGGCAAGGAAGACGCTGGCGATTGGCCTGTTGGCTCATGCGTTGCTGCATCTTAGTCATCTGGTCGCGTGCCTTGACAAGTAGCTCTTGCATCCGTCACAAGAAAAGAAGATGGTCGCCGTTCGTTGAATGATTGTGTCCAACGGAGAAGTGACCGGCGAGCCATGCTCGAACTCGAAGGGCGACATCCCGATAGCCGGGTGGATGGACAAGTTGTATGCCAACTCGACATCCGGCAGCCGCTCAACCCAATCCTTTTGGGCGGGACGGATGAGAGTGCGAAGGAGAACCTGTGCGGTTTGATGCGCCCTCTCCGTTTGGTCATCGGTTTGGGGGTGGCGAGCCGAACATGGCTTGAGAGATGAGCCCCATCGTTTGATGAGCGCCAACCAAAAATCGGACATGAACCGAGTGTCCCGGTTGCAGACGATTTCCATGGGGTAACCCTTGGTTCGAATCCAACCGGCGTAAAGAACCTCGTCCAACTCCGGTGCCTTGGCATGATAGCGGCAAGGCAAAAACATGGCGAACTTGGTGAGTCGGTTGACCACCGTGAGAATCATATCCACACCAGTCTTGTGCTTGGGGAACGGCCCGATAATGTCCATGGCAATCACTTCCCTTCAGCGCAAGGGTACTGTTAATGGTCGCAACTCGCCGTACGAACGATGATTGCAGGATTTGCAACGTCGGCAAACCTCACATGACTCGCAATAGCGTGTGACGTCGTCGAGAAGACCGGGCCACCGAAAGCGCTCGCGGAGTCGGCCAATCGTACGATTGACTCCAAAGTGTCCGGTGGTGGAAGCGTCATGGAACTCACCAAGAAGCTGTGTACGCAAGTGAGAATCACTCGGTACGCAAAGGAGGTCCTTCCCCCTCGTATGGACAAGCAAGTACCCCTCTTGGATCCAGTAGTGAGAAGGCGTCGGATTAGGGGAGGAGCAATTTGCGTACTTGTCGCGAAACTCGGGGTCGGCTTGGTAGCCGCGGATGAAGCTGTCCCGCAGGTCGTCGCCGATCTCGAAGGTCGAATAAACTGCGGTACAATGATCCGGACGCCATGATAGAGCATCCGCAAAACGGTTTGACTTGCCCGAAATGTGGTCGGGAAAAAAGTCAAATTGGTCCATGAAAGTCATCCAACGGGCAATGATGCTATTGACCGTGTCTTGGGTCTTGTAGAAGACCGACGGATTGTTATCCGTTACCCATCGGAACTGCCGTCGACGGAGAAGAAAATGCCGCCAGCGCTTGAGCGCGTGTACGAAGGCCAATAATTCCTTCTTCCGTGCGTCGTCCATCGAGTGCACGGCGGGCACTTTCTTGCTAAAGTACTCCATCGGGTGCCAGTCCACGCCATCATGTTGCTCGAGGACAGCACCACTGCCATAGCCCGATGCATCGGTAGTGACATGTGTCGGCAGAAGTGGATCGTAGATGCGCAACACCTCCGCGGATAGCAATGCGACTTTGACAGCAAAAAAGGAAGTTTGCGCATTGTCGTCGAAGTCGAATGGCCGGTCCTCACATTGAAGCTTGGATAAAGGAGCTGCGATCTTCGAGTATCCCTTGATGAAGCGTTGATAGTAGCCGGCTAATCCAAGGAAGGAACGAACATTTGTGACGTTCTTTGGCTCCAGCCACTCTTGGATGGCTTGGACAACGGACTGATGTCTGTCGGTGTGACAAAATGGCCCAAATATTCCAGCTCTTGCCGGACAAATTCGCACTTGTCACGGTTGGCTTTGTACTTGGCGCGGCGGAGCGTCTCGAAAACTCGTCGAAGGTGCTCAAGATGATCCTCCAATGTCCAGCTATAGATGAGAATGTCGTCTAAGTAGACTAGTACGAACCGGTCCAACATCGCATGAAACTCGTTGGTCATTGTCGCTTGAAAGTTTGCCGGGGCATCAGTGAGGCCAAAAGGCATAAAGATCCACTCAAAATGCCCGCACCGTGTCTT